GACTGAATCCTGGTCAAAGGGCTGCACTTGAGGATCTCATTTGAGGACCTCAAGACCAAAGGTTCCCCACCCCTGGTCTAAAAGTTGAACTAAAATGCTCTCCAATAGCTAATTAGGCTGACTTTTGAGCCACCTTGTATATAAAAGTGGTATCAATCTATGGCAGCTACTGAAATAATGTATCAAGTGATAGACTTGGCATAGCAAGTCGCTTAATTTCTCACTGTGAATTTTCCAGTTCTCCTTTTTTTCCTATGGATTTCCATTCTAAAACACAAACCTTAAAATATAAGAAATACAAATCTTAAAACCACACTGAGACCTCTGGGATACCAGCCATCGTTAGTCCCTCCCCTCCACCCTTAGTTTTCTCTTCTGTAAAATGGGTATAATAGTAGCACCTACCACACAGAGTTGGCTGTGTAAGTCAAATGAGATAAATCCACGTTAAATGATTTTTTTCCCCCAACCTTAAAGTATGATACATGTGCTAGCTATTGTTTTTCCACTGCAGCAGTTTAATATTGGTAGATAGATCTGTACAAGCTAGCATGAGCGTTGTAGGAGTTTACTAAAGGATTGGGGCTTTAAAAGGGATGGTGGAAGCTGAGTGGGCCTTGAAATAAAGCTAAGATGTTAGACAAGCAGATAGGAATAAAAATACTGTCTTTCGGTATTTATATTTTCCCTCAATAAGACAAAAATGCCACCTGAAGCTAAACCCAATGGGTGATGTGCTTTATTCAAGAGCAGATAGTTTTCATGGTTATTATTCCATCCATGTTCTTCGGAAGAGGGAACATTTATCTAATAGCCTTCTGGCCAAGTCAACAATGAAAGAGGTCCTTTTTTAAAAAATAAAACATCCCATACTTCAAAAAAAAATCCAAGGAGATGGTTGGGGCTTGGTACAAGAGAATATGCTACCCTAAAAGCATTTGGTTGGTCTCGTGTTCTTCTCCCAGAAAACAATGTTTATAGTACGGCATACACTGACTAAAAATGTCTAAAAAAGAAACCCAGTAACTACCAGATATTTTTAGCTCTTCTCTTCATAAGCTCTGCATGTCACTGCCTTCCAAACAAACCTAAGTCTTGCTGGATTTAGACGGAGATCAGACCTGTGATTTCAACGGTACAGGGAATGCCCAGGTGAGGAGACGCCCTCTATCAGTGAGAGTCGCCAGACACTTAAAGGTTAATGACTTGCGTCATCCAACCAGTATTTGTCAGAGGTGAGACTTGAATCCAATCCACTACCCCATATCTCCTCCTGAATTTAATGATTTACAAAAAGAAGCAACAGAAAAACCATTATTCATTTATGTGATCGGTGAGTGTTCTCTCCAGGAGATGCGGTTAAAAGAATAAGATCTCCTAAGACCTAACCAACCATGTGAAAAAGCCCAGTGGACCAGAATGCCATATGCAAGTCACCTTGGTCCAGTAAAAATGACTCACCTAGCCAAAGGAAATAAACTCAAAGACTTTATTTTGTGCATAGAGACACGTCTTCTACCCTAGATGATCTACCTATGCACTGAGCCACCTAGCTGCTGCTACAATAGTACAACAGTACAAAGGTAACACAAAGGAAGAAGGCTTTTATTTTATTTCCTTCCACTAAATCGGAAAAAAATCCCTCAAATTTTCCCAGAGCACTTTATTCTCATCATTATATATCACAGCTCTAAAGCTGGTAAAGATCTTAAAAGATTATTTAACCCGAAATCCTAATTTTATAGAGGAGGTAAACTGAGGCAGAGCCAGGATACATACCTAGGTCCTCCTGACTCCAAGTCATTGCATTGTCATAGGCTTATCACACTCCTCTCTCCTCATTAAAAATCTTAACCCCTTAAGTAAACTATCTTATTTTAATTATTTTAAATATCAATGTTAAATATTAAAATTAAGTTACTAATACTAAATTAAGTATTTTATGTTGTTTTTTTTTAAAATCCTCAGCATATAACACAGTACCTTGCACAAAGCAGGCAGTAACGAGTGGATGAAATAGAGATATCCGGCCAGAGTTGAGTAATTCTCCAAGCAAAGCGGGGAAAACCTATCAGCAGTCACACATGATCGAGCTAAACTTCCCCTTTTAGTCTCAATTTTGCAAGGGGAAACAAACAAAGGGAGCTGCCAATTAGGTTTTCGGAACAAACATGTTTATCTCTTTAGTCTCATTGCATGGTTTTTCAGTTAGGACACTCTTCTATACATGCCCACTGGCTGATTATGGTGTATGGTTCTGATGACATGCCTTTTAAATGCTTGGAGGAGATATGGCCATACAAGTGCAAACTAAGACAGTAGCTCCCCTTCACCATCTCTCCTTTCAAAGACCCAAGATCACCAAAAGGCGGTCAGTGAGGTGGCTCACTGGATAGAATGGTGTTCAAATCCACCCTTGTCCACCTGGGTGTAGGACCCTGTGCAAGTCACTTAACCTCCACATGCTTTGGTTTCCTCAACTGTAAAATGAGGTTTGTAATAGTACCCACCTACCTCCGAAGGCTTTTGTGAGATCAAATAAGATCTCTGTAAAGCACTTAGCACAGGGCTGACCACACAGTAGGCACTTCATAAATGCTTTCCCTTCCTTTGTTCCCTAGGGATTTCCTGACTGCTTCTGGAATTAGATCTTCCTGAAATTATTACACCAAAAACCCGCACAACGTTAAAAGTACCAAAAGTGGAAAGAGAAGGGAAAGAAAAGGTGGAAAGGAAATACTGGAGAGAAATTGGTCAAGTGAAAAAGACACAGGGAAAAAAAAAAGAGAGAGAAATCGATACGGGAGAAGCACTCAAAAATCCTTCCCAACAAGAGAAATCAAACAGAAGATTGGGATCCACCCCTGCCTTTTTTTTTCCCTTCCTCCTCAGTGATGAAACACTCATTGCCTGGCTTTTTTAGAAACTTCTAAAATGTGAAGGAGATGCTTGCTGTTGGCCTCAACTTTCATAAAATTCTTATTCCATTACCACACGTTTGACTCATTATTTATGAGTATCTTCAGGAGCTACTAATATCCTGACAAGGCTGGGAAAGTCAATCTATAAACATTAAGAACCTACTATGTGCCAGGCACTCTGCAAAGAACTGGGAATACAAAGACAGGGAAAAAATAGTCTCTACTCTCCAGGAGCTCCAAATCTAAAAGGAGAAAATGCTCCCGAGGTGGGCCTAGGTTTACATTAAGCAAAACCCCCTGCACCTTACATAGAACTGGCCATTATCTATACAGTGCCATCCTAAAGCACTTTATATACAATACTTCCCTGTGGAAGGTGAGGAATTGATCACTGTGCTTCCCGGTATAGAGGCAAAATTGTGTCTTTTGAAGAGGCACTGGGATGAAAACAAGCACTGGAAACTAAAATCTGATAATGAGATTACACGGCACCAAAAAAAATGTGATTTTTATCTCATCACCCATGCCCCTGAACTATTTTCTCCCTCCCTCCAGGAATAAGTCTGGTTATAAATGTTATTTTTTTTTCCAAGGGGAACAACAAATTTGTTCCATGACAACCTTCTTTAATGTGATTGCTGTCAGCATGGTTCAGCTGGCAAGGGCTTTTCCCAGCCCCTCCCAGAGCCCAGGGCGGCATGAGTTCAAGCCCCAGCCTTGGAAACCCAAACCAAAGTCAGTTCAGTTATGGGAAAGGCATTCAGTGAAATATTGTCATGGTTGATTAATCTGGCCTAAAGATCCTTCTGCCTATCTTTTACAGAAGTAATGAGTCCCCTGATACTCTGCCTCTAAGCAAGACTGGCCAAAGTCAGGAAATATTTTTCTTCCCAATTAAATTGGCTCTAATTAATGGGCTAATGTATCCAGTGAAGACCTTCTGAGAATGTGGATCTATACAAACGTAGTTATATTCGAGAATACCCATTCCTCCCCCTGCATGCTGGCATAAGGAGGTCACTGACATACCAGTTATGACCCTTGAGGTCATAAGGTGTGACAAAAAGAGACTCACTGCTGCTCAGCCACACGAGGATCTGCCTGTAAGGGACAGGTAAGAGGGTTTCTTAGCTCCCAAAGAGTAGCCTGGCACAGAAGCGCTCACTAAGTGCTTTGTCAACTGAATGGATTTGAATTTTCCGGGCTCACCAGGACAACTGGGGCAACCAAGGGAAGGAACTCGAGTGAGCTTCTCCACCTAACCCTCAACTCTTCTCCCCGACCTAGTAAGTTTGCCACTTTGGGTTAATTCCTTCCCCTCCACCCCTCTATCCTACCACCGGCAGCAAGCACGGTACATCTGCACCCGAAAGAAAGCGAGCAGCAGCCTAAGCCCATTGCCCCAAGGCGAAGAAGCAGTAGTTACCATATGGTAAGTGTGACAGTGGGGAGCAACAGCAGAACCTTCTCTTTCTCCTCCATTCTCTAGGGAGAAAACATCTCCCCCACCCCATCCCCCAATCAGCGCGTATTTATACGGCGTTTTTTAAGATTTTCAAAGTGCTCCACCACATTTTGGTCAATCAACAAGCCATGATTAAGCGCTTACTGTGCGTGTGCCAGGCACTGTGGGTTTTACAAAGAAAAGCAAAAAAAAGCATGGTCCTTTTCCTATCTGTGGACCTCAGTTTCCTCATCTGTAAAATGGAGAAAGGGGAACTAGGTCAAAGGTTCTTAACTTTGGGTCATAGAACCCTTGAGCAATCTGGAGAAGCCCGTGGACCTTCTCAGAATAAGGTTTTTTAAATGCACGAAATAAAATACAGAGGATTCCAACGGAAACCAAAGGTTAGTGATAATTAAGGTGTCGCTTTTTTTCCCTTCCAAATTCACGGATTCTTAGTGAAGGACCTTAGGACTGGACGCAGTCCACGAGGTCTCGTCCAGCTCCAGGTGGAAGTCCTGTGATGTTTTGCGTACATAGGAAGCACACACACGCCCCCACTTAAAGTGTTTCCCCAGGCTTCTACAATAACCCGCGAGGGAGGGTCTGCAGGGGGCCCCCGGGGCGCCACTCACTTGCTGGCCGGCGCGGAGCTTGCCCTGGGGGGGTCTTCTGAAAAAGGAGGTCCTGGCGGTGAAGAAGAAGTCCTCCGTGTCCTCCTCCAGGCTGCTGTAACCACTGCTCATGCTGCTGGTCCACGTCATCTACCCGGCGGCCTCGGCCGGGCGAGCAGGGAACCCTGGCCCGCTGCAGCCCCTGGGCTGCAGTACAAGGAGACCCGGGGTGGGCTCACCCCGACACGGGGGCCGCAGCAGCGGAGGCTGCCCCGGCTCCGCCTCCTGCCGCCGCCGCCGCCGCCGCTGCAGCTGCACACAGGCAGGCTCGGTCCTCTGCTTGCGTCTCCCCGCTTGGCCGCCGACCCGGCCCCGGCTTCCTGCCACTTCTAGCCTCCCGCCCTCCTTTCCCAGCCTAGCCCATCCTTCTTCCAAGCCCAGTCCGTCAGAGCCCTCCCCGCCCTCTCCCCTTCCTCCTTCCACTCCTCCCCCACGCTCTTCGAGCCCCTTCGCCACACCCCTTTCCTCCCACTTCCCCGCCCCCGGCCCCCAGCGAGGCGGCCTCCCTCACTTCTTCCGTCCTCCCTTCCTTCCTTTCCTTCCCTTCCTCCCCCCAACCCCCATTGCAACAACTTTGGAATTGGGGACAGCCCTTGAGACTCCTGGGATCCCCTGTGGGAAACCGTAGGAAAAACCTGTCCAATCCCCAGGTGACTTTCGGTCCTGGCTCCCTCCAGCTCCCCGGGTCACTCCGACCCTCTCTGCACTTTTGCTGTTTTTAAAATCCAGAAAACCCGAGCGCAGGAGTAGAAGCTGCTCAAGAAAGATTCCGCATTGATTGCACGTGGTAAGGGGTCCTACAAGCATCTTAGACATAAACACACGCCATATTTTCATAGGCTTTCCACGGGATGAGGAAAAGGACTGGGGTCGGTGAACCTATGCGCACTACCTTCGCTCCGTGGATGATCTCCAATGTATTATCCAGTCTATATCAGTGTATATAATTGCTCGCATGTTGCCCCGCCTCTTTAGACTGTGAGCTCCTCGAGAGCAGGAAATGGCCAAATATGCACAGCGCTTAGCGCAGTCCTGGGCACATAGTAGGCGCTTAGTAAATGCTTATTGATTTGACTTGGTCTGGTGTGAGGGGCTTCCTTTACAAACGCAGATCTGCAGATTGCGCAACTGTCTCAAACCGCAGGAGTTCTAAACCTTTCTTTGTGTCCTGGTTCCCTTTTGCAATATGTGTGTTGAGGATGGAACGCTTCCTTCTCCAAATAAAGTCTTTAAATGCATAAAGTAAAATGCATAAGCTCACAAAGGAAACCAGTTAGCAAAACACAGTTTAGTATTTAATTTTATTTACATTTTTTATTATAAAACGGGCTAGTAAAATGCAGTTATAAAAAAAATTTTAAAGGCATGGATCCCAGGTGGACGACCCCTGTTATAAAGATTTGAAAAGAACCTCAAATGACTTCTCCAGCAGATACAAGGTTATGAGCGCCTTTCCTGTTCTCTTACTCCGTCCCCTCACCCCTTTTTTCCCCATCCTCCTTCCTTAGACCGGAGTTTCCTGCCTGAATCTGCTGCGGTCTGAGCGTCCCCACTTCCATCAGTAACTGGCTGGAAGCCAGGCTTAGGGGGTGGGGGTGAGAACCACAGCCCCCGTGATCCGGAACCCAGGCAGCTGTCTCCTCTTATTCGCAGCCGGGGAACCAAAGTGAAGCTGGGGATGGCAAGGGAGTGGAAGGTTTGTAGGAGCTGAAGGAGTAAAGGCCCCATCAGGAGAAGATCCCAAAGGGCATTTAGTCTGAGCCTCAAGCTCAAAGAGGGCCTCAAATGTAGGTTAAGAAATAATGAAATAAAACTAGTATTACTCTTCAATTGGAACAAAAAGTTTTGCATGGCCTGCTTTTTTTAAAAGTATCAATTGTGACATTAGGAAAAGGCTAGAGTCTTTTGGCACAGAAAAAAATTTGCTAAATAAATTCAAATTGTCTCATTTTTGGGTCCTCTTCTGTTTTTATGAATCTTAATTTGATTATCAAATAAACACGAATAAAGTAAAAAATGATAATTATCATTTTTAATATACTGTGAACTGGCGCAATGGAATCTTGCCTCAGACTCTTACTAGCTGTGTGACTCCAGACAAGTAACAAGGTCAGTATGCCTCAGCTTCCTCTTTTGTAAAATGGAGATAATAATAGCACCTACTTCCCTGGGTTGTTGTGAGGCTTAAGAGTTAACACAGAAAGCACTAAGTAAACGTTAGTTGCTGTGAGGAGGAGAAGACAGCTTGTCTTAGTGGCTTGAGTTCCGAGTTAGGGACTCAAAGACAACAAAAATTGGTTTCAAGTCTCACCTCTCAACATATGTTGGCTGTGACCCTGGGCAAGTCCCTTACCTTCTCAATGTTCAGGGCAAGTTTCAAAGAGCTGCCAACCTATACTGGTAGATGATGTTTTCTCACTGTGGAGTTCCCTATACCAACAAGACCACACATTCAGTTCCTATCCCTCTTCAGTCCCTTACCTAGGAAGGGATGGAAGGCATTTGTATAGCTCCTACTATGTGCCAGGAATTGTGCTTAGCGCTTTTTACAAATATTGTCTCATTTGATCCTCACAACAATACTTGGGAGGTAAGTGCTGTTATCCCATTTTACAGGTGAGGAAACTGGGACAGAGGTTAAGGGACTTGCTTAGGGTCACACAGCTAGTGTCTGAGGCTGGATCTGAACTCAGGTCTTCCTGACTCCAGGCCCAGCACTCTAGCCACCATACCACCTTTTACTTCATCTAAGTGGGGAAAGACAGTCTGGAGACCAGGCACAATTGATAAGGACAGTTATCAGGGTCAGATTTGCCCCCAAAAAATGTAATATTATGCTGTGGATGCATGAGATCGGTACAGAGAGTTTCCTCTTAAATGCATTTAATTTCCATGAAAATATTTTTCAACAGTTTTTTTCTTTTTCTCACTTTCTTCCCTTCCTCACTGAAAAAGAAAAAAAAAAGACCCTCATAACAAATATACATAGTCTAGCAAAGTAAATTCCTGCATTGACCACGTTCAGAAAAAAAACATATATATATATATATATTTCTCAAATACACTTAGTCCATCACCTCTCTGTCAGCAGGTGAGTAGCATTTGTCATCATGACCCCTTTGGAAACATGGTTGGTCCCTGTGTTGATTAAAGTTCTTAAGTCTCTCAAAGCTGTTTGTCTTTACAATGTTGTTGTTACTGAATAAATTGTTCTCCTGGTTCTATGCACATCACTAAGCATCAGCATTAGTTCATTTATGCCTTCCAAGGTTTCTCTGTAATTGCCCCCTTTTGTCCCCTTGGGCAGGAAGGTGATACAGTGAACAGAGTTCAGGGCCTGGAGCCAAGCACACCTGAGTCCAAATTGAGCCTCAGATGTTTACTAGCTGTCTGACCTCATCTGTAAAATGGGGATAATAATAGAACCTACCTCCCAGGAGTGTGAGGATCAAATAAAATAATAACTGTAAAGTGCTTAGCACAGTGCCTGGCACATAGTAGGTTATCTATAAATGTTAACTATTACTACTATTATAATTCATAATTTTTTTTTTTGGTGAGGCAATTGGGGTTAAGTGACTTGCCCAGGGTCTCACAGCTAGGAAGTGTCAAGTGTCTGAAGCTGAATTTGAACTCAGGTCCCCCTGATTCCACAGCTGGTGCTCTATCTGCTGTGTCACCTACTGCCCCTAATTCATCATTTCTTACAGTACCTAGTATTCCATCACATTCATACACCACAATTTACTCCAATAGATGGACACTTCCTTAATTTACAGTTCTTTGTCACAATATAAAAAGCTGCTATAAATATTTTTTTGCATTTTTTTTTCCATATGGGTCCTTTCCCTCTTTCTCTAATCTCTTTAATGTAAGTGTAGATGACTTTTTTTCCTGTGGGCAGTTCCTACACAAAATCTCAGTTCCTGATCAAAAAAATGATTATTACAATCACTACTTTTGGCCTATAGGTTTTGGCTGAAAAGGGAGGATAGTTTTTTAAAAAGTCGAAGGGTTTTAATTTATTTTGAACCCTCATTTGTCAAAATAAAAGTACTTTTAAATGGCCCTGCTCAGGATCAGTCTAACAGGAAATAGATGAAACCGTTTAGAGGACCTCAGAGAAGTATTCCTCTTCCCCTCTCAGAAAATCTCTCCTACCTATTGCCTGAAATTTTACAATGAGAAGTTCATTTTGGTTCAGGAGAATACCTTTCTAAAAAGTAAATTTCCTAGCCTGACCCTCAGAAAGGAGACATCGGTCATTTATACCTGAAGGACCTGGGACAAGTAAGTCATAATATTTCTTGGCTTCATTTTCCCCATCTCTGCTATGAGGCGATCAGACTATAGCATGTTTCTTTCCCTTTAGCATGTAGCTGAGTTAGCCTCAGAAGGAATGAGTTATTTGAGGAAGCAGGGAGGAAGAAAGGTTAGTTAGTTTTGGAGCATAGGACACTGTTAAGGACAACAGACCTGGCTGGGGCTCTGGAGAGAGGTTACCAGAAGTCTTTACCCTTTTTTGTCACCCCAGTACTTTGTGCTTCATCAGTCCTCACAGGCCTGCAGTATGTGGCCTGTCCCCCCCTTCTTCACCTGGGCGTAGCCCACTGCCTCTAGGGTTCCATCACCACAGCAACCCTCTTGCCCCCACTTGCCTTCTTCTCTAAACTTTATTGGCAATTGCTAAAATACCTAGAGGAAGGGTGGCCCTCTATGGCAGGGACGCCATGCCCATGGCTGGATTGTCCAATATAGCACCAGCAGCCACCCTTCCCCTGCCACCACCCACCCAACACCTGTTTTTGCTTCAGGTGAAAGACTGCAACCCAACCCTCAGGGGAAAGGTGAGGATGGAGCAAATGTACTGTTCCTCCATAGATTTGCCTTGCATTCCTTCATTAATTTAATCCTTATTAAAGACTTTCTTTTATCTACACTTCATTTTTAAATGGGAATTTAGAGGTATTTTTTGTTGTGGATGAAAAGAGGAACATTACTCCACCCAGAGTAAATCTGTTAAATACACAATTTCTGAATACTATTTTGGGGGGGGGGGGCAGGGTAGAGAGGAAGAGGGTAGGAGAACATTATCAAAAGAGATTAAACAAACAAAAATCATTTTAAAAGATCTGCTGATTCAATCAACCACATCATATAAATAAATGGGCCTTTTCCTGAATTATATCTGTCAGCAC